GCGATGTCCAGAATTTGAGGCCTCGAGGGGATAGACAATGAACCGGGATAAGAGGGCTAGCCCTGGTCATGGCCTTCCAAGTTCCCCGGGGAAGGGGGTCGGGCTAATTAGCAGGGCTACGAAGGAGACATTTCTACTCCCGCTCCCGCTCTCGAGTCTCGCTCGCCCTCGCAAGGTATGAATACGGTACTTGCGTTGTCTTCTCAATTTGCCCCTTTCGACGTGGGGATGGATTGTGAGTTGGGACATGCAGTCCATTGAGGACACATCCTGGAAACATGGCAGAATGGTACGGGTATCCCGTTGAAGAATGAAGAGTCCAGTTGCTGGTTGGAACTCATGTTGTCTGAGCTCCGGCTCCGGCTACGGCTCCAGCATCAGCTTGACCTGATGGGATGCCTAGGTCCAGGATGCTACAGGGAGAAACTCGTCGATTTCGGGCTGCCAATGCGGGAGCGTTCATCGTGCCTCAATGGAGAGTTTTCAGACAGCACGAGCAGTATCCGTACGTCTGGCCGGTTCTGATGTAGGATGAGATGAGATGCGAGAGGTGATCGAAGGTTGAAGGTTGGGTGGGTGGGTTGCGAGATGAATGGGTGCTGCTGCCAGGTATCCGTAGCGGCGTGGTAGGGGACACCCTTCCAGTTGCAACCCCAGTGTTCCCCGTCCGGCCGCAGAAACAAATGGAGGATGTGTCGTCGGGGCCGGCTCCGGGCCCCGCACAGCCGAGTTGCGATATTGGTGGTTGATGCAGGCAAACCATCAAGGATAACTGCTGTGAGATGAAGCCCAAGATGCAAAGAAAAGAGGGGAAGAGTGGTATGCTATTGGTGTCAAGTTTCAGATCCAAGCACACGTCGGGCCAAAGTAAAGTGCTCACCTGTCAATAATAGGCACGGCTATCTGTGGGCGTTGAGAGAGATGGAGAAAGTCAAACTGGTGAATACTGCAGGACTGCAACGCAACTGCAAGTGATGTTGAATTGCTGCGATGCGGACCAAGATGCAACGCTGATGCCCCGAGCTTCTTCCAAGTTCTAGTTTCTGCTGTGGCGTGCCTCAAACCAGACGAGGCATGTACGGATACGTACTTTGCACCTGTGCGAGATGGGATATCTGTATCCGTTTGGTAAGGTAGGTAGGTCGGTGAGGTAGGTACCCACGTCCCTTGACTATAAGGCAGGTAGACCGTAGGTCATAATCGCCTGCTGTCTACGGAGTATGAACCTCTTAGTCTTCTTTCGGTACCTTGGTATGGAGTACCTATGGACGAGTCCCCATCAGTTTACCTCAGTTTGGGTACTATGTGCGCCGCATCCGGGCTGCCTGAGGATCGGTATCCGAGCGGCCAGGCTGCAAATATTTCAGGCACCACTTGCAGCCTGCAGGTGACTGAGGGCATAAATCCAGGCACCAAGGCACCAAGGCATCAACATGCCAAGAATGCCCTGCATCCCGAAATCTCAACCCTCCTAGGCGGCGGCATCTGAAAATAAAGTCCATCGCCGGTTTCCTGCCGACAAACGCCGAATCACCAGCACGCCCCTCTACCTCTAGTGTCCGTAGTCGGGTCATTAGGTAGGCCGTTCAGAGCATGAGCCATTTGCCTTCAACTCCAGGCATCGCGCGCCCGTTGTCCTCAGCCGTGCACCACCATCATCACACATCCATCATCGGACGTAGCTCCTGTGTCCAATAAAACCAATTCAGCGGATACCTGGATGCCCAATGTAATCTGCTCCAGGACTCTGGATGAAGAGCCTGCCGTTGCGTAATGGAACTGCCCAGATGTATGGGTGAACCTTGAAACGCGCCGCCTTGGGATGCCGCATATCTGCGCACAAAGATTGATTGGGGTAGGGGGTACCTTGGCCTGGATATTGCATAGCCGTCGCTCAATCACACCCCATACCTTTGCGGCAAGCTGGATGGAGACTGTTGGAGTTCGTTTCTGCCTTGGTCCATCCATGTTCACGACAGCTATCCATATCCATACTTCGTACTCACACTGTCATCCCTCTACGGCACGGGTATTCGTACCCAGGACAGGCAATACGGTATGCATACACCACGCCCGTGCATTTGTACCGAAGGGAAATCAGATCTGGCTTGATCATCTCGCTGTGCGGCAGCCCGTATGCGCACTCCCACAATCATGCGTACAAAGCGCCCGGGCAGGCACACGCTTCCATCATTACGGAGTACTGCCACATGCACTTCGGTTTCCTTGGCGCGTTGGCTTCGACCTTCCCTTCCTCAAAGCCACGCGGGCGCAATCCAGTAAGGTACACACACGCTCTACACGGTAGGTGCCGGATGATGCTGCGGCAGCCGGGGCGCACAGTCGCCCATATGGCACCCTCACTTGCCATGCCGCCGACGTTAGCTCAAGCTGGCATCCCTAGCAGTCGCAGCAACGCTGGGGGCATGTCTCGATGGAATCAAACGGATATTGCCGTTCTCCACGATCCCCTTTCCCGGTCACTGACGCGACACAGCTCCCCTGCTTAATCCCAAGATAATCACAGCATTGTCCTGATCGCCCTGGGCCCGGGGTCTTGCGACCATCACCAGGCGGCGGAAGAGCTTGCTCTAAAATCTTGGCAACGATTCGACAACGCTGGCTGGCGTGTGAGTGAGATAGTCGTGAATGCCGTGGATCATATCTCGAGAGTTTTCCCGCTCCCGGCTATTTGCTGTGCGCAGTATGCTAACGTTTTCTGCCAACTGACCATGTAGCTTTGACCGATGCAATTGGATGAGTCTTGGTATTTTTTGACACGTAGGTAAATTTCCGCCCAGACTCGCGGTAACCTGTCGTGCTGCAAACCAACGTGCGTGTTTGGACGCATGGCCTCATCCGCTACCACCAGTCGAATTGACTTCTGCGTGCAACAGCCTGCTACAGACCCAACCGGACCGAACTCTTGCCAGGTACAGGCACAGGCATGGTTGGAATGTATGTGACTAGATACAGATATGGCTTACCTCTGAGCACCAAATTCACAGATCGTGCATCACTCTCGGCTCATCCACACACGTACGTAATTATGTATGTCTGTACACCGCCTGCCAGCGGCTTACCATGAAAGGCCATGCACGTTCCCGTGCCTAGTTTCAGAATCTAGCTAGCCATTGACTTTGGAGGCATCGTGTGCAGATCTGGCAATATTGTAAGATAGAGGAAGGAAAGTCCATTGGGCACAGTCAATGTGCCCCGGCTGATAATGTGGCGCCATTGAACGTAGAAAGTGCTTCCGACTATGAACAATGATGTCTGCCATGAGCATGCCATGGCTTTACGCCCCGCCGATGGCAATGAGGCGGATCAGAACATGTTGAAGTTATGCCGCAGCGTTTCTCCCGTTGACCCTTCATCTTCAGGACTGGTATCGGCTCGCCTTGCTAAACCAATAAGGTTAGCTTTGTCGAGGAACATGCTGGGTGTTTCTTGAAGCTAAATCCAGAGCAGTTGGTCAAGCGAGAGAGGGCTCTCGGATGTCGGGTGGGCACTTGCACCACACCATCTCAAGGTACGATGAGACGGTCCAGCTTGCGTTGGGTATGTGCCTAGGTTCTTTTAGAAAATAGAGCTGCCTGGCTTCATTCACACAGTCGATAGGTGAGTGAATGAACCAGTGCTTGCTTGCTGTCTAACAGATGAAGTCTTGATTGATGGAGGGAGTTGTGTACAATTGTGTAAGTTAGACGTTGCATGATGCCCGGCGACCAATTTTTGATCTACTCCCGGCCGTTCGGTCAGTTCGGCACCTTGTTCTTTAGCTGATACGACAATGTGATAGGTTGTAGTCAAATTTGTCGTTGTAGCCATCGGTTTCGGAAAGTATGTAGGCAGGACTCTCAAAATGGAGGATGACGATACAGTGCCGGTGGTGTGAGCTCCCCTGGTCTTGACTCCACACCCCCCAGTATCCCATTTCAACAAGGCCGTGTGTCAGCCGTAGTCTTCCCAGCAAGTAACATGGCTTGGTGTCTTGGAAGAAGAAGAAGCTCGTACGGATATCATTATCTGCACATAGCGTTGCGTAGGAAGTATGTAGGATGGAATGACAGACCGCTGTGTTTGTCAGATAGCCTTGTTTGAGACAAAGGCAGAGACAGGAGCAGGAAAGTTGATATCCTATCCACATTCAGAGGCAGGCAGGGAGCTCTTAGAATGAGGCCCGGCAAGAGGGAAGAGAAAAGGGCGGAGGAGTGTGTTGTTCCGATCCGCCCGATCTTACCTCGGAAGTCACGAAAAGTCCTGCGCTTGTCTTCTTCCCACTTGTTCCCATTCACTCCGGAATGCGGAGTGCGGATACCTATCCATACCAGCTCAGGTAAGGTAAGAGGGAGGTACGTACTGCAGTCGTCAGGTCACGTGTGTTTCAAAACCGTGCTTTCTCAACGCGACTTATGGACTTGGCAGACATCCCACACCATCATTCATGTGATCCACGCCCCCCCCCCCCCATCCATCTCCTTCTGCTTCTGCTCCCGCTTCACCCTTTCGCTCCTTCAACAACAACCCCACCAACGCCACCACCTACTTCACATTACCATCCAGCCATCCATTCTTTCACCTGCACGTCGCACAGCCTTCCATCGGCCACCCACCCTATTCCCACCCTTGTGTTGATCATTCTTCAATTTCTCGGGGACCTGAGCCTCCCACCCCGCCTGGGTTCCTGGCGTTGGGTGCTTATGAGCAGGGGTGGCCTGTGGTCCCTTGTTCTGCAGCTCGCAACTTACTGGCTCGGCTTGCGTCTGCTCTCTGCAGACGACATGGAAGATCCTGTTCACCCTGTTCCCTGTCCGAAGTGACAAGCTTGATGGCAATAGTCTTTCTGCTTTATTTTTTTTCTCTTCTCATCTTCCCTATCTTTATTTGCTTTTTCCTTCTGACCATCCCCCTCACCTTATCCGCGAACTCCTCCCCACGGATATAGCTAAGGTGGTAAATATGCAAGTCTATCCGTACCCGTAGACGCAATTCTGCCGCGAGCTTGTACCTGGCAAAGTTGATCTAGGGAGCCCTGACATGGGTGTTCTCTCCCGTTAATGGAAATTCGGCCTGTTGCTATTCAGACGTTGGTCCCTACTTGACTTAAGCCTGTGGCTGTTGGCCGGACTCGCAAACCCGCGGACCCGCCGTTCGTTGCTCGGATTGCACTCCAATGCGAAGCTGCCGCGACGAGTCCATCCATAGTAGAGCCCCGTATCTGTATGTTTCATCTCCTTCTATCTGCCTTACTATTCCTAATGTACAATCAATCATATCTTGGCACTCTTTCGCATGGTGTCCACACAGCTATTGTCGCCATGAGCCTACCTTGACTCTAGTGCTGTGTGGTGTCGTCCCATTTGTGCCTTACTGTATACGGATACTCCGACAATACTTAGCTGGCTCCAAGTGGGAGCGCATGCTTCCATGTCTTCACGATGTTCCCATTCTCCACTCAAACACATGGCGCATCACGGCTTGAAAGCCATGCCGTTGTCTCTTCGTCTCCTCAACCCTCGAAACTTACTCAAGTATCTACTATTGTGTGTCCTTACCAAGTGTATTCGTAGAGCCATCCCACGAGTTTCTTAGCAGAAATCCACTTGGGAATACCAGAGTAAGAACACGCGAATATGGGAGCATGAGCTTCGGCTGGGGATGAAGAGCAGCAAGACACAATTTGAACATCGGTTCCATCATCATCAACTCTGTAACATTTGGGAGTATCGACTGACGAGAAGTCGAATCGATCTTCATCACCCCAGGTCTTTTCACAACCCTTCCACTGATCCTAGCTACCTATGGTTGAAGCCTGGCCCCTGGTCAGGCACGAATCAATACCCGCGCGGAGTTCTAGCTCAAGCAAATCAGCGAAGCCGACGCAGCAAGCCACGGTACCCCTCCCCCCCTTCTCGTCCCTTTTCTGTGCCGTTCACACACTGACACTCGTGTATCCCGTACTTTGTACTCTTCCATTGGGCTCGCAGGCACGGCAGGCCTTTTTCGTCTCCATCGGTACGCATTGTCCAACTACCCTGATTCCCTGACGCAAAGCCACAGGCGTTTGGCACCGCGAAAACGAGCCATCAGCATCGGCACAGGTATGGTACACTACGGAGTCAGATCCCACCGTCACCCATCCCAAGTGTGCCCATCTGTCTTACCTAAGACGTACCACGCGACACCGAGTGACCCCTTCCTCGCTCTGGCTTCACAGTACGTATTATTGTCTCTCTTCACGGCGACGTACATGCTAGGATATGTGCCCCAATGGTTCCGGCACCGTGCCGACGATATTCGCGAGCGACACAAGTGCGATTATCGGCATCGACTAGAAATCCCAAACACAAGTCTGTTGCCAGACGCCGTTATGCGCTGTGCGGTCGAAATTTACGTGGGTTTTCTTCTATTTCCAATTAAGCACAAGAAGCGCGACTTTTCAGCCGCGCTGGGTGGGAAGCAAAGCAGCAGGCATCTGAGCCTACAGGCTACACCAAACCACTGGGGCGTGGTAATACGGAGTAAAGTTTTCTTGATAACAATCTATTAGAGTGACATCGACCAAAGGCAAAGCCGCGGTCAATTTAGCATGCCACGCGGGAAGCGGGCGAGGGAGGGCAAGGGACCGGAAAGGTACCAAGACGGTAAGAAGATTGGCAATGTCAAAAACAACCCAATTCCACCAACAGCAGGCACACACGGCTGGTTATTGGCGAAAAGGAAAAGAAAAGGTGCATTGGTCAACGACGGCGAGAAAGCTTGAGTCTCCAGAGAGCAAGTGCTTGAGCCAATCTCTAGTTGTACCCGCCGCACACCACATCACGCTACTTCTACTAGCATCTGACGTGTAGTTAATGAGTTGCGTTAATATGCCTGTGTCATTACCTAGTAGTACCTTGAGGACACGATGAACTCTTCGTATACTACCCAAGCACCGGATGGAGTATAGATTGAAGCTGGGGGGGGGGGGGCATCAGCCTAGCACCGTCCAGTCTCAGTCCGGCGCAGTCGGGACAAACACCAGAGACTGCGGGACGAAACCAGGACGAAAGAGGGATTCTCGAGATGGGAGCTGACTCTGCATTGCCCGGCTTTGTCTTTCGGCTTTGTCCCTGACGCGCTTCGGAATTGGGGTAAAAGAGCCCGTCTGCCGATATAGACGTGGTTGGCGGTGGCAGTCCTCGATTACGAAAGACCAAGAAGATATCACCCGCAGGGACGCACGTACGGGTCCATACGTACCTCTTGTGGTCTCGATGCTCCGCTTCTTGCGGTCTACCCAAGCCAAGGTAGTGTTGGAACAACGTGGAATGGTTCTACAGATGAAATGTATCCTTGCAGTCGGGATCACTCCTTCACACCCACCCACCCATCCACTGTTTATTGCTACTATACAGGAACACCTAGGCTATGTTGAGCCAAAGCGTTTTCAATGGTGCTCGCCTCACCTAAAGAAGTTTGTCTCGATGGTCGATGATGCCTCATCTTACGTATTGTTCACTTGTCCTTACGCACTCCTCCTTTCTCTTCTCCTTCTTCTTCCTCCCCTCTCGCTTTCCATTTTAGTGTCATCACTTCGTCCATAACCAAGCATCTTGGGGCGCAACCGTGGTATGACTGACGCGGCAGTTGCACCGATAGTCCTTCTTGGAGGGGGGCATCAATCAGCCTCGCTCGCATCATACCCTGCCATGGTTATGTTCTTTTGCTGAATCTTTCCCCTCGGCGTAGCCTAGCCTCGCCTTGAACGAAATGAGATAATTCTCAACGGGCGAGGTTTGCCAACGGGCAGGTAGGGGACCAGGTACCGTAGCCAAGAGGCTGGTTGTCGCCATGGATGCGTCGAGATGAAATTTAGCGGCCCCTCGACCCCCTTGTCTTTTGATTTTACTCTACATTCTTCCCCAACTTTTCAGCGCAGGCGTCCAGACCTGCTTCTCCTCTACAGATACAAGGCACTCCGACGTCTCTGATTACTGTCTGCTGTCCCTCGAATATAATGTATTTTATCTTTGAATATTATTCGTCTGAGCGCTTGGTTGTTTGATGACAGCTACAATGAACTTGGTATCCTTGGGCCATTCGTTACTTCTGGCGCATCTGATGGCTTGTGTGCGTGTAGTTAGCGATCGTTTACATGTTCGGCGCAGACATGTTCCTTGTCTCAAGTTGGGCTCTCACGCGGCACGCAAAGCAAGACAAGGAAGCTTGGAATTGGACGACGGGCTGGCTTTGTTTTCTTCTGTTGCCCTCCTTGTTTTCTTCAACATTTGGCTCCCGAGCCCGCCGCCTGTGGTCTCCCTGCGCTGCCTTTCCCTTCCCGTAACCTTCTGTTCGTCTTGCCACGGCGCCCCCCACCGCTGCCGCCTTCTATCGGCTCGACCGTGCTCTCGTCTTGGCTGGCGGGTCATGGGTGAGGAGGTTCCATCCAGTGTTGTATGTAGCATAAGGTCAGGCAGCCAAGGCATGGTGCAAGGGCCAGCCGTTGGGTCGCCGTAGACGTTACGGTATCAGAGGTATCAATCATAATGTCAGTGTCGAGAGTCCTTGTGTATTGGGAGGGATGGATGTCACAAGCGATGGCATGTCGGACGCCGTGCTTTACCTGGCGGTTCATGCCTCTTGGCCCATTGCAATTTACCTTATACAGTCCTACATGAGGCATGGAGCGGAAGTAGTGTACTACGCAGGAGAGAAGTAGTCAATCTGCTGAAGCAGCACTAGCAGGCACGTGCATGCCTTCATCTCTCCCTTGAGTGGGTTGGCTAGACCCGGGGCCCAGATGTCTTAATTCTCCCGTCAAGGCAACCTAAGAACAATGTATCCGTAATAAAGAGTGGGAACTTGGAAGGTGACGGGAACTGCAAGGGGGAAACGGGGGGAGAGAGAACCCAAGAAGAATTCCTATTGACGATACGTCCCCATACTCTCTGCTCTGTATTCGTACCTTCCTTTTGACAGAAGCATCTTGGTGGGGCGTGCGCATCGTCCCGAAGAGGTCTTTTCATCACCTCTTGCGACTTCCATACTCGTCCGCCATACCTAAGCTAAGGTACGAATACAGATTTCCAAAGCATGAAGACTCAACATCAATGGCAACCGGTAATTGCCGATGACATGACAGATACTGCATCACCTGCGCCATCCATCTTTCTCGTTTCAACCATCGATGTTGCCGCCGGCACGCCTCTTCCCTCTTCCTGATACCTTTGGCCGTGCCCATCTTGCATCTTCATCTCTCTGCCCCCCCCCCCTTCTCTTCTCACCTTTTCCTTTCTCACTCCCACCCGACCGTTTAACGCCTATCCCATCCCATCCCGTCCATCCGACCTTATCCTATCTAGCTCATAGTTGCCTTTCCTGTCTATCCATCCTCTTTCTTCCCTTCAATCTAACCGTTCGTTGCCGTGTTTGTCCCTGCCCTCGTCCTCGTCCATGTCGACCATTTCCCTTCCCGATTTTGATGGATCAATCCGAGCACGAACTTGGCACTGATACCTCACGGACACTGGGCGCTCGGTGGTTTACTACTCCCCTCAACTTGCAGGTGCTCAGCACCGCATGGCCTCGCAAGGCCCTCAAGCGGTCTTTTGAGTATCGGAGCGGAAGAGGCTCCAAACGTATACACACACACACATAGGCGTCACACTCCCCCTTCCTTGCCGTCGGGTAGCTCCCCGCTGCCAGGAAGAGGTAGGTAGGTATGGCTAGGTGTCCAGCTCTGCAATTGCACAGCCGTTCCTCTGTACTCTGCCATGACGCCGGACCACCTACCGCAGCGCCACTATTTCTCCTCATACCCAGATCCCTCAACATCATCATTGCATGTTTTATCTGCCCTCATGTGTCTTTGCCGTTGCTCATACCAAGTGTCAGCTACTTTTGTCCGTCTCGGCTCTCGCGCTCCTTGTCACTGTCGCAATCATACTCAGTATTGTTCCGTTGCAGATGGTGATGTGTTTGGTATCGACACCCGTCGTCGAAAGATGTGATGATTGGCTTAAACCAATGCTTCGGGCACGGCAAAAGAGGTCAAGCAGAAATACGAGAGAAAAAGATTCGCTCTTGTCGACCCGCCAAACAGTTGGCATCAAAAGCCAAAAAGTAAATCAGGCAAACTATGGCTAACAACCCGAATCAAGCATCAAGCACCGGCCAGCAGTTGTCGTTCGATCCCGTCGCCTTGCTTTGCCCAAGCTCTTTCTTTACCCCCTCTTGGTCCTTGTGTGGGAAGCTTACCTTGAGGCATTTGAGCTTAACCTTGTCGGACTCTTTCCCTCACCCAACCTTGACCATGCCTCCCACACCAACACCAATACTGCAACGAGGCAGGCGGAAGAGGATGAGGATGACGAGGTGGCCGACGACGACGACAATAACAATAGAAGCAGTTGCTTAGGACTAGCATCTGGTCTCTGCCTACGACCTTGCACACGCCATATGGCATCCTCTGGTCCTCGGCATAATGTGCTCATGGTAGTGCCGACTTACAGCAGAACGGCCAACTCATGCCAAGCATCTACGGATAGCAATACCAACACCGGCACAAATGCCAAGCCAGAGATGGCGGTTGATGAGATAGCATCACAAGGTACTGGAGAGTGGAAGAGCCACAGCAATAACACGCCCAGAGATACCGTACGGGTAGAAAGAGCGCAGCAAGTCTTGGCAGGCTTGGTCTAATCGACTCACTAGACTCGAGTCGAGTCGAGTCCAGTCCTGGTGCCATCTATGTCGCCCACTCATTCATTGGTCTTGACAAGTACCCATCTCAAGGCTGTGCTGCATGGGTATCCGTAGGTTGGTATCCTATGAGAAGTAGGAAACAGAAGGGGGGGGGGTAACCCAAGGTAGTGAGTGAGTGAGTGAGTGAGCACTGATGAGCAACAGCAGCAGAAAGAACAGCAGGGGAAAAGTCCATGCTCTTGCACGCCTTGTGACTTCCACACCAAGGATGGCGTTGGCATTAACTGGTATTGGCATTGGCGCAGGTACGGATGATGGTACTCACAGCAGTACCTCTCTCACCCGTCTCTCTCTGTGGCAGTGAATCTCTGCCTCTCTCTCTCTTTCTCTCGCTGTCTCTCTACCTAGTCTTGTTCGGATACGATACCTACCCTGCCTTTGCCTGCCCTGCCGGCTTGGTCCCCGCTGGAACTTGGTCGAGGTATTTCCCATTCTGCTTTTTCTGATCGCCGAGCGTTTCCCCCAGCATCTGGCACGTCCGTTTTTTTTTTCTCTCTCTCTCTCCAGGTCCACCACCATCACCCACCACCCACACCCAAGGTATGGATGGGTATGTACTTTGTACACACTACACACACACACACACACACACACACACACACGCACACATACCGAATATTCTCTCTCTGTCGTTCTTCTCTTTTTTCTGCCCGCACGTCTCTTACTTACTCCTCTCCTCCCATTGCCCAGTCTTCTTTCTCATACGGATGGATGGATACCCAAGGCACTCCTCTCGCTGCACTGTTGTTTCTCTCTCCACTCTCTTCCCTTCCTCTCTCTCACATACACACACACGCTCTCTCTCTCTCTCTCTCTCTCTATACTCCCCTCTTACATCGCACTCCCTCCCTCTTTCTCCCCGTCTCTCCCACACGCCCTCCCCCTGCCTCTAATCCACACTCCTCTTGTACCCCATTTCTCTCACTCTCTCACTCTCTTCCTCTTCACACCCCATACCCTTCTTAGCTCAACCCCCCCTGTATCCTGAGAGCTGGGTTGTGTGTCTTTGCGTCGTCCTCTACGGATACACAGTTACCAGTAGTCCCAGTCCCAGTCCAAGTCCCACCGCCGCCGCCGCCGCCGCCGTCTTCTCCTCCGCCTTGTCCTGCCTGCCTCCACACCCACCGGCTCTGCTTTTGGAGGGGAAAGGGTACTGACTCTTTGGCTCTGTTTCTGGGCTCTGGCTCCCGCACCTGTGTTCTATCTACCGGTACCTCTTGTTGATGCGACTGATCTCTCTCTCTCTCTTTCTCGCGAATGCCTGTCGCTTTCCACCTCGTCCGTCCCGTCGTCACTCGTCACTCTGGCCCTCCTTGACCTTGACCTTGACCTTCTCCCCTCCACATCCACCTCCACCTCCACCTCCTCTACGGATACATCCTGTGCTGCCGCTACCGCCGCCGCCGCTCTGCCCTCTGCCCCGTCCGCCTTGTCTTTCTTGGCTCTCGACGTACATGGTAGAGCTTCATCTGCTACCCTTGCTCGGCTTCAAACAGCTTCCTGATCTCCTCGACCGCGGCACCTTGCCTGGCCCTACGTCGGCATCCCGCCTTGAGCCCTGGGTCCGATCTGCCCTGTCTATTGTCTTAACCCAGGCCTGTCTGTACTATCCTGGTTCTCTGAGCTCGAGGCACCTCCATCTTGTTCTCGGCTGCCCTGGGCGCGCGCGCGCTCTCTCACTCCTCCCCTGATTGCACTGCAAAAAAAGAGTACATGGACATATTATTTCATCCAGTCTCCCGATCTTCACGCGCAATTACCAGTTTTACCGTCGGGCACCGACATTCATATAAGTCCTCGGCGACATCCAGTCTGCAAACTACTTCATCTACCTCTTGCTGCAGTCCCCAGTACCCGAAGCTCAGGATACCAGGAGTTCGAGGCCCAACCGCTCGGTTCAAGAAATCAAAAACCTCCGAGGCCCTCCCTTCTGTCTACTCCCTTCCCGACATCTAAGATCTCAGGGTCCGTTCCACCCACTGCAGCAAAGAAAAGCAAAGCAAAGCAAAGCACAGCACACAGCACAGCACAGCACAACGGCATATTACACCGCATACATCAACCACCACCCACGCTCATTCCCTCAACAACAAGAAGCTCGCCAGCTAGCTACTCCTCCTCGCCCGCCTACCTCTAATTCCCATCACTCCTTCTCTTCCCAGTGTGAGACGAGCGAGCCTCTTTCTTTCTCTCTCTCTCTCTCTCTCTCTCTCTCTCTCTATCTCTCTCTCTCTACCATCCTCTATCTCACCGGAACCTCTACCACAATAATCGTTCTGGAACGTGGACATCCACCAGTTCACCGCAAGCCGCCCCGACAGGACATCCGACAGGACAGAGGGAAACCCAGACCGCGCAGCTAACACGCCGCCAACATTCAACCGTGCTGCGCTTGACAAACCTTAAAACACTGGATCTCACCATCAACCTCCGGTTCCTGACCCACGCAAGCCACAAGCCCATAGACATATACGAACATCTATCCCGTTGCTGCTGGCTGTACACATTCCGCCCTCAAGCTCTTTCCACCACCATACGCTGCCCACCACCTCAAGCTTCACGCGTCAGGTGACGGTAACCTTGAGTCTTCCAACACAGCTTCTGTTCTCAGTGGCTGAACCAGAAGACGGAAAGGTGAACAAGGAGGCGCTCGGAAGCATACAATCTCGTGACCTGGATACTACGATAAGCGCAGGGCGAACCACGGTCCCGCGTCTTGCTGCAGATTCAGAGCTCCACACACGTACCGTGTAGTACCTTCCTTACCTTACCTTACCCTGCCCATTATATTCCCCTCCCTCTTCTCTCCTTCGCAGAACCGCTTTGGAAATTTAGCTTTAACAAGTCTTAATCTTCTTCTCGCCGTTGAAAGACTTTCCTCCCTCCCCCTTCCATCGGTGTTTTGTCTACGTCCTCTTCTTTCCATCCTCGCGCGTCTTAGTTTCAACATCACGCTCAACTGCGCGGCTTCATCACTGTTCCCACGAGCCTTCGCTAGTCAAGTCCGCAGGGCTTGCTTCCCTTCTCCCATCATCATCACCATCATCTGGGAGGACTGAACCTTTCACACTCTATTCGATATTTTTTTCCAACGCATACACATACTGTCGGTAAGTGGCGCAACTCTACGATCGCTACCGCAAACGTTCAACGTAACTTACACGATTAGACTCGGCGCAACCGGAAGCCAACATGGCGAATTCCAATGTCCCATTAAACCCAACCTTCATCGGCCACGTCGCTTCCACTCTCGACGCTCTGGTTCTTTTTGAAGCATGTCTAAGCAGTGCACTACACCATGTCCCCCGCAGACCACACGACCGCGAACGCCAGGATCTCATCAAGAGCGGCAATGTCTTCATCTACGAGGAACACTCGTCCGGCATCAAGCGCTGGACTGACGGAGTTGCTTGGAGTCCCAGTCGTATTCTCGGTAACTTCCTCATCTACCGCGAACTCGACCGGCCGTTCCCGCCAGGCGAAAAGAAACGCGCCATGAAACGTAACAAGAAGCCCACAGGTGTGACGAAGCCTGAGGTCGCGCGCCAAGGCAGCGTCAACGGAGCTGCCTCTACTATGGGCATGGGGGATGGCTCGCAAGGCGGCAACAAGGACGCCGAGCGAGCATTGATTGGATCCCTAGTCGACTCGTACCCTTTCAAGGAAAACGGCCTGGTGAAGAAGACGATCAGCGTGACTTACCAGGGCGTGCCGCATCACCTGGTGTCCTATTACAACGTTGAAGATGTCACAGAGGGCAAGCTGATGACCCCTTCCAAAGATCACCAGCTCTCTACCATCATTCCTAGAGGAGAGTTGATCATGTCGCAAAATTTCCGCGCCCCAATTGACGAGGTCGAGATGGACGACTCCCGAGGAGGTCACGGACTTTTCGCGCAACACTATCCCGTTAACGGCCACCATCAGAGCCTGTCACGAGCAATGTCAGTGCCTTCGCTACACATGAGCGGAATGCCTGCGACGCAATTCGGCCATCCACCATACATGTCGTATATGAATCCAGTTCCCGGATCCGTCAGCAACGTTGGCTATGCGCAGCCCCAACACCCAAATTACGCTTATGACAGCTTGAGCCGTGCAGGCCGCTATCCGTCAAGTGCTGGCTTGGCTCCCGACATGTCTCGAAACATGGCACTCGAGTCACAGCATCATCCTCGACGACACTCAACAGCTTACGAGCCCGTTACGGGCCCCGAAATGGGTCTTGCTAGCAGCTTGCCAGCTGTGTCAAGCGACCCGTCTAGATCCATGGGCGGAGGCAACTACATGACATCCATGTTGTATTCCCAACAACGCCCTCACGACATGTCTCCTCACGAGCCCTTTCCCTCGCCGTCTCCCCGCCACGTGCACAACGAATCGGGAATGGGGGGCGACAGAAGCGCCCAGGGCTTCCCCATTGAAGGACTCAACCGCGATACGTGGAACACGTTTGACCAGATAGGCGAGGACGACCAAGGCCAGTACATGCCGCAAGGGAGTGCAGGCTGGCCGAGTAGCAACAACAACAACAACTCGCTTGGTAGGACCTGAAGAGAAGTAGGATTAGAGTCGTGTGCACGTCTCAACTACCGTACTTGTCCAACACGAGGCTGTTGGACATAGACCAGGACTCAACGTTGATTGGATCGGGTCACCAGAGAGGATTGCCCTTGAACGACAGTGTGGAAAATGTTGCGGGGTCATCAAATCCCTCAGGTTACAGAGGGAGACTCTGAATTCAGGCGCCAAGGTGCTTGGGTAGCGCGGCGCCGAGGTTGCGGTTTGCGATGAAGTTTTTGATTCGGAAGAAAACAGAGGTGCGCAAAGCTGAGCGCAGCCTACGATCCAGGAGTATGTGAGGTATACTGAACAGGGAAAAGGGGGTTTCATGGGACTACCGAAAAGTTTACCTGTCAGGCAGTTACAGTCTGCAG